AATCCCACCACCAGGGATTATTCTTTGAGTCTGTTGTGGCTTCCTCAAGCCATATATCTCTCCTTGACTTCCCTCAGTCCACAAGCGGGGATTTGATGTGCTTCCTATTTTCTAATATTAGCAGTAGTGCTCTTTTTGTTCTCACTAAAGCCCTGTGGAGGGACAATCCTGTTTCCCAAAACGAAATCCTTGTCTCACACTTAACACCAGCGTCTGGGTTCTGCTGCTTCTGAACAACTGGCCCCTGCCTGCCTCCGGGAAATGACCAGCACCTGGAAGTCCCGATGCTCGGCTCTGTCTTCAATTGGAAATCACGTCTCACTATTGCCTGCAACAGCCAATTCTAGGTGGTGCTGCGTAGACGCTAAGCTTGCAGGCTGGAAGCTATTACTAATTCGGAGGAAATACAACTAGGCATTTGGCTAGAGAAAATTTACCAGGACAGAAGATTTTGTGCCCTACATGCATGGTCCCATTTTAGGGTTTAAGCAGACTTTACTGTAATCTGGGTTAGCCTTAAAGAGATCTGGTTCATTGAGCAGAGGTGGACGGAGTGGTAGTTGGGGGTCTCACGTGCACATCTGGGCCATAAACAACGGAGCTTGCCTTAACAGATTTTGGAAATATCAGAAGCAGATTTAACCTCAGGATAAAAGGACTAGGCCGGGGGTCCAGACATGCAGCCAACTGAGGTATGAATCAGGGTGGGTGACAGTCCCCAAAAGCTGCACTCTGAGCCAGGAATCTGTGACCAAGAAGAACAAAGCGAGCAGAACGAAGTGCGGAGCCACAGGTGAGGGCAGGCAATTCCCGAGGATGACCTCTGCACCACTGATGACTTCCACATTCCTGTTTCGTTTCCTAAACTGGAAAGGGAATCGCCTGTATGGGAGTTGGCGCGATATAAAGGGTCTTCAGGGGAACGGGCAGTAGCCACAAATAACTCACAAGACTTGGCATTTGCTTTGTGGGAAGAGGCTAGATGGGAAAGGTTGGTCAGATTTGCCTCCGACATTCTGATTTTGCCTTCTCAGCTGTATCTCCAGAGTTACTAGTTTGTCTCATTTCTGTCCCACTACCTTGGGCGGCTCTTGTGACCCCCTCCCTCCATGACGTGGTCTCTCTCGTGCTACCGAAGTTGGAACATCATGCTCACGCTGGAGGATGGAGACAGACATTTAAAATGAAACTATAGCCAATAAAACTAACAGATTATTAAGGTAACTAGGGTTGTCAGAGGAGAGCCCCTAAATTTCCATGGCCCTGTCATCACAGATCATGAAGTGTCCACTGCTGCTCCTATTAGACACAGAAGAACACGCTTGAGTGGGCCCTGCAATGTATTGTGGGATTCCTTCGGGTTCTATGCAACATCCATACACACTACACAAAACCCAAGAAGCTAGTGATCCTGAAAGGTATCCACACTGCTCCTGTGGGAACCTGCTCCACCTGGGCACACAGTGTCCTGGGTCTGATCTCAGCACAGCCTTTGGAAGACAAGGTCCTCCCCTCTCTCTGATAAACCAGCCCCTGCCTGTGCACGTGTGCTCCCCATCTGGAGGTCCGCCAGAGCTAGTGTGAAGGTGTGGCTCTATACATCATGGCTGTTTGGCCAGGGCAGCCTAAAAATGTGGAATTTCGACAAGAAGAAGGAAAAAAGCAATCTTGGTTTATTGAACTGGCCAATTGCTTCTATAAGTAATCTATCCAGTATTTTCATAGAAAGAAAAAACATTAAATCCAGTGCAATTTTTAATATTACCGTCATATAACCCACTAATGGCTGCATGTAAAATCTGCATGGGCTGGGACTTGTTTATAGAGCACTTATAGGGTCGATAAAGTAGCCGTGCAGGTGTTCACCAACACACCTGCCCCCCAGACTGAGTGTGTCTTAAAGGAAGGGATTGTGTCTTATATATCTTTGACTGTCTAATATCCAGGATAAGGCCTGGCCCAAAGTAGCTACACCTGGCTGTCCACTCAGTTGAAATAAATTGTAAAATGATGGGTTCTCAAAGTTCCCTATGAGCTCCACGTAGTTCCCTCAGGAACTAGGTCCTTCTCCAGGCAGTGATGTACGTTACATGGAAGAGACGCCCGAAGTTCCGGCAGCTCATGTCCTAATGTGCAAGGTTAAGAACAGCAGTCACTATCAGGGATGTTCACTTAGTCTGGGTTCCTTTGTTAAAGGGATACACTGACTTTTTGGGCTAATACAATATCTCAATCTACAGTCCTGCAATCATTCAAAGAGCCTATGATTCCATAAGTACGAGTCAAAAAAGGACAGTACAAATATGCAGGTGAAACGCTGTTTCAGAACGTGAGCACCTAAAATCGGGAAGTGCCTCGTGGACCAGGCACATTCTGAGCCGCCATCTGAGAGAGGAGTTGCAGTCTGCTGCCCCCTGAAGCTGCTGCGCGACAGTGTGCAGGATAAGCTACTTCAAAAAACACATCTCCGGAAATGTAAGACGATTCTCCCCACACACACAGGTGACCCGTGAGGGAGCGTCAGTGATTCCCCTTCAGAAATGCCATATGTTGAGTTTTGCTTCTAGAGAGGCACTTAATTCCATCTACGTGAATGTGGCATTTTAAAGCCCCAAGACTATATGAGGCATCCTTTGGGACCCTCAATATTCTTTGTTCTTCTCTTGTAAACTCAGAGGGTAAGCAGTAGATCACACGCTATAAAAATAATATGCCTCACTCACTGAAGTGAGGGAAAGGCCCTTGGTGGAAACAATGGGGACTATTCATTTTCTAGAGCTTGGAGTGCCCTCCCCCCAGCAGAAGTAGAGCAGGGGGAAAGGGACCTGCAGTGAGTTATACCAATTTACAAGGGGAGCAGACAAATGAATACTATGCTCCAGATTTTCCATAGCAAGTACTTTTGTAACACATGTATAAATGCACGTTTTTTTAAGCTATTTTAATCACTCTGCTATCTATTTGCTGTCCGAATAGTGAAGAATATATTCAACAAAGTGGACTGCGGGCAGGAAGCACTAATTATTATGGTGACAGAAACAAGTCACAAACCACTACCCTATTCCCAGTTTTTCCTTATTAATTTTTGGCGAAGTATCTCTCCACTTGTTCCAATGTAAATTAAAGATGCCTTGCATTTTCTAATCCTTTTGTAACTATGAATTATTTTAAGCTCCTCAAACATCAGACCTAGCTCTGCCCCAACGAGAGACCCTGTCTTTCACAAAAGAGAAGAGATTTTCCAAGCAGTCAACTTTAGTAGGATACATTGCATATGAAATAAACTCAGCTCTGAACTCCTAGTGGTTCTCCCCTAGAGCCTTCATTGCTGTGATGACTATAATTTCCATTTAAAACGACAGAAATAGGGAAGAAACTTGGCGGCTTCCCAGAGCTGTGGCCTGTTGTGCCCTCTAGTCTAGCAGAAGGGATCCCGGAAGACCTTAGGCGGCGGGGAGGGGACGGTGTGTTCTGTAATTACCCGGGTCTAAGGTCGTGCTGGCCCTAAGCGGGCGAACGCAGACAGCGGCCGCAGAGACACTAAGGGGTGCCCGCCGCGGAGCTCCGGGGGAGCGGGCGGGCGGACGCGGGCTGGACTGCCGGCCGCGCGGAGCCCGTCGCGCCGTCACCCCGAGGAGCTGGCCCGGCGGCAGAGCCGCGGAGGCGGCGCGGAGGAGGCGCGGAGGCAGCGGCTTTGACGTCGCCGGCTGCGGTAGCCGCTC